CTGGTACAGCCTAAAACAATGGCCAAGACACATAAATGCTATGGCTGTCAGAGAAGGTTCAGAGACTGGGATTTCTAAATCGAGTAGTTCATCTCCTGGCTTTCCAAAGTCTGCCCAGCATTTTCAAAGCACAAGTCAGGAGAATGATCCAATACTCCCTTGGTACGATTTCCAACTAAATCGGAATAGAACCAAATGTGTGCTATTCCACTGATGGAGCAACAAAGGAAAGATACTGGCTACGAGAGGTGTGAGGAATTGTGTCAAAGGCTGCAGTAAGATCAAGAAGGATGTGGTAGAGGGGAAATTCTTATCACAGTCACATAGGATGTTAGTTGAGGTGTTGACTGGGGCTGTTTTGCTGCTCCAGCAAGGATGGAAACCTGACAGCACAGATTCAGCCACAGAGTTGTGGGAAACTTACCCATTGTTTTGAAAGAAGATGAGGTCATGGATTTTTAATGTGTTTGCAATGACAAAGAAACGTACGGTGAGCTTTCAAAGGATGAGAGTAAATGATGGTGGTACACAATGTGGGGGTGTCTGAGGAGGGGGCCAACTGTTTAGAGGGAATGGAGTGAAGGGTGCAGGAAACGGCCTTCACAAACAAAGTGAGCTTGGAGCGCACAAAGCAAACTACGGATACATTCGGCTAAGACAGGAAGGAGTATGGGAAGATGTTGCAAAGATATCTGAACAGATGATCTCAATTTTAATGACAACAAAGCCCGTGGGCTCGTGTTGTTCATTGTTCGAAGTAAAGAGGGCAAGGAAGAAGGGTTTCAGGAGACAATTGAGTTCAGCATTAAGTTTGCTCATTAGGATTATCCGGCAGTAGCATGTGGCTTTGGCAGAACATATTATGACCTGACAGTATCTTTGATGCGACCCACCCAAAATTAGTGATAGATGGCTTAATGTTTGCTGTATTTCCACTTCCCACACCAATCACCCTTATAACCTCACTGAATGAGATCGTCAGATGGCAAAGAATTAGGGTCAGTTTCAAGCTCTGCACTCATGCTACAGGAAATAAGATTCATTACATATGATTATTACACTCATCAGAGGAGGAAACATGAAGTTATCTCAAACAGAATGAAAGGGCCACTACCTAAGATCCAACTGCTGGATGAGCTGTTTGTTGTTAAGTTGAAGATGGGAATTGTTAGATCCAGCCACTGCACTTGGCAAACCCTTGCACAGGCGCAATAAAGAAAAACATATCCCTTTTCACACTAGGGTGGTCAACCCACCAGGAATGCGTCAAAGATCTCACAGGTTTGTACAACATGCAGGATATGGGGTGGTGAAAGAGAGAATGGGTAGGTAAAATATGGAAGTGAATGGGGCAGAGAAAAAATAGAAATAGGGAGAGAGAAGCTGAAAGAGAACGAAGGGAAAAGGGGTGAAAACAGAGGAGAAGGGCAAAGAAAGGGAGAATGAGGGCACAAAACACAGAAGGGGGATGAAAGAGAGAAGGGGTCAAAAGAGAAAGGGGCGATAAGAGAAAAGAAGTAAAATAGAGAAGATGGTGCCAAGAGAGAGAAACGGGTGTCAAACAACAGAAGGGGAGAGACCAAAAGAAAGAGAGAAGTGGAAGGGCCAAAAGAAAGAGAGGAGGGGAGGGGCCAAAAGCGAGAAAGGGAGGGGCCAACAGCGAGAAGGGGCCAAAAGGGAGAAGGGGAGGGGCCAAAAGGGAGAAGGGGAGG